TCGAGAGAACGAGCAGCTGAGGAATAGGCTTGTTGACACCGAGCGAGATTACATTCGTGTTACTAGACTCAATGAGGTATATCGCGAGGAACTTATTGAGCATAGAAGTCGCGTATGTTACTCCGACCTTAATGGGCGTCTATCCCCATGTTAAAAATTTTTTTTTTTGCTAGCTGGGCATATCCGTGGACAACCTAATAGGATTGTCGTCGACCGACCCATATTCGCAGCCAACTCACCTCAGGTCGGCATCTTCATCGCATTCCAATACATCTTCTCCTTCGACATCTATCATGCATTTCCCAACCCACGCTTCCCGCCCGATCCATGGCGTACCCATTCCCCGGCCACCTTCGCAGATCCATCGGCCTTCCCAGACCCTAGAGGGCAACACCCCACTCTCACACTCCCCTTCTTCCTCAGAGTCACCGTTCCCATTTTCTCCAATCACTAACCCCACCAGTCTGATTAGTCCAAATACAAATACCACCAGTCCCCCTTCCTCTTTTTCGTTTAATTCCACTGTCGGGGTATCTTACGCAGCACCGTCTCGTGGCCTTTCTTATCCATCAGTTCCCCCACCATCACTTTCCTCATCATTTGGCTCTCCAACGGTGTCCTATCACATGCCGCACAGAGAGCACTCGTTATCTCCGGTGGAACCTCTGAGTCGGAGGAACTCGAACGCCCGAAGAGGGACCGATTGGCGCGTCGCAGAGACTGGGAGTCTCCGGGGAATTAATGACACAAGCCGGAGAGGAAGTGTTGATAGGGGCGCACGGGTGGCAGAGACGGGGACTCTATTACCGCGAAGTCGGGCTGGCAGTCAGAGTGTAACAGCCACTGACTCTGCCGAAGTCAATGGGGTCACCAACGCCATCAAAACAGCTAGTGTCACAATTGACTCCAAGGGTCGCACGACGGAGTCGAGTTGAAGTGAAGAGATATTACGTATCATTTGTGCTCATTTTCTTTTTCGCAACACCATATTGTATTATAATGGATGATAGAATGATAGAATTCCTCTTTTACAGAGTTATATACAAAGTTCAAAAGCTCTTGCTCGTAACGAAATTCAGAGAGGAGTGGGGCGGGAGCACGTGGAATCCCGACGGAGGCTGTGCAAGCGCCGTGCCGGGACCCCGAGAACCGTGGTTAGTTTTCGGGGTCCTTGCGCCTCATGGCCATTGTTCGACGGAAGCGGAGGCAAATGACTCGGCGTGACCGCGCCCTATAAAAGCCGCCAACTCGCAGGAATGGTAGGCAATTTTCGCCATGTCATACTCATACGGACAATTTCCTGGTGAACAATATTCTAATCCATCTACACCACTTGACGTGTTTCCTCAGTGGGAAACGGTTGAACGTGAAGAACAGCAGTCCCAGCAACAGCAAGCCCAACAACAGCAGCAACAATCACAGCAACAGCAAATACCGCAACATCAACATGAGCTCCATTCCCCAACTGCACCACTACAACCACCCCAGCCACAGTTTCAGATAATACAACTTGATGAACCGCAACACGTTGTTCCCAGTCAACGAGGACCAGCGCATGATGATACCCCAATTCGACTCCATCATGTGAACAAAATTGAGAGAAGGCGAGACCATAGAGAATCTGAGTCACATAACCTCCGCGTTGATACTGCTGCACGTCCGGGAACTGCTTCAGGTTCCGGGCCTTCTATGGCTATGAGATCAGCGCGTCCGCAAGCTCACAATCAGTCCCATCCATATCGAAGACCCCCAAGTGCAGCTGGAACTTCGTCAGCGATGCAAAGACCAAGGGAACAACAAGTGAGGTTTGCGAGTGGCGGTTCATCTTCAATGCCTTCGCCTGCTATACCATCGCCTGCTATGCCCTTATCCGCAATGGCGTCGCCAGCAAGTCGGCTCGCGAGTTTCGGATCGGCGATGAGGTGTGTTTCCTGTTGTTCTCTTCGAAGCCGAAAGCCACTTGCCAAGTGTGTTTTTTCAGTTCCCCAACGGTCCAGCAAGACCTTAGCCTGCCTCGCGTAGCCCCAAGGGTTACTCCAACCCAACGGCCGTACATAATTCGGACGGATACAAATTATGACCCAGAGACTAGACTGTTGACCGTCTTGCTCGAGCTTCCTGGCGTAAAAAAGACGGACTTGAGAGTGACGCTCTCGACATGCCAATATAATGGTGTGAGGCAGATCATAGTCTCGGGGCAAACCGCCCCAACGTTTCCTATACCGCCTGCAGGGGGAGAAGACAACAATGTAAGAGAGAGGAAATTTGGCAAATTTTCGCGAACGATCCCAGTGCCGTCAGATATCAAAGTGCGCTTTTCTCGGCGCCTCTTGGGTTTGTCTGTTTTGATTGGTTTTTTTTTTCTGGTCTGTGCTTTCAGCGTGAAGACATTGATGCGTGCTTGGAAGACGGCATCCTCACCCTAAAGATTCCTTGTGGGATCCCAGTTGACCGCGATGAGCAAGATATCTCAGTTCGATAAGTTGAGCCACTCTTCAATCCAACGTGAGAGCAACATTTCAAGCCTGCAAAAAATATCTGAATTAGTATCGTCTCGTTCATTATTATTGACCTAACTTTATTCCCCCAACAGCGTTCCATTTCCCCTACTGAGTCCTTCCGTACATACCCCATTCCATTACCCCCTCTCCTCAATCCCACGGACATCTTACACCTTGACCCACTTTCTTGGAAATAGCTTGGCTACCCCCTACACCTCCCCCATCATCTTGTCCAACCCGTAGGGGTGAGATTCACATTCCTCCCCTTTATTTATAGACCCTAGCATAAAAGTCGCTTGACGTACATATAGTCCTCGCTGCAAACTGTTGGATAGCCAGTAGATAGCTCGCGTATATATCCAGCCCACGGGCTTAATTTTTTTTGTTCAAAAAAAACAAGTTTGGTTTAGGCGCTAAGGATAGATCGGTAGCCGGAGCGGTGCTTGTGCAAACAACAGCACGTGGGACAATAATGCCACGAAAATGGTCCAAAGGGCCATCGCCTCCTCGTACCTCCCATCGCACCAGGTCCTGTAAGCACCCTTTTCCCCGGCCTGTGGCCCTTTACTCTCTGGATCTTTCACCCCCAGCCCTCTCTCCATGGTCGAGGACAAATACATCGGTCTTGCGCTTGCCGTCTCTAGCTCAGTGGCCATCGGAACAAGCTTCATTATTACTAAAAAGGTACGAATGATTTTCTTGTCGTGTCACACATTTTCAAGTTTATTTCATCAGGGATTAAACGACGCAGCTGCCCGCAACTCGGCGTATGGTGCACAATCAGCCTCGGACAATCTTTCATATCTTAAGAATCCTATATGGTGGGCAGGAATAACGACTTGTACGTTTTGTCTTTTTCGTCTCGTATGTTGGCGACGGAACTCAAAATATGTTTTGTAGTGGTAATTGGAGAAAGTGAGCACGTCCCTTAACAGCCTGTGTTGGAGCCCCACCTAAATTCCATCCGCAGTCGCTAATTTCGCAGCATATACTTTCGCCCCTCCAATATTGGTGACGCCTCTAGGAGCTTTGAGTGTTTTAATCGGGTGAGTTGCGATCTTTATTCGACCTAGACTATTCATTCATAGCGACATTAAGTGCGGTGTTGGCCTCATTCCTACTTAACGAAGAACTGGGTCATCTTGGACGGCTCGGATGTACATTATGCTTGATCGGATCTTTAATTATCGTCCTTCATGCCCCAGAAGACAAACCGGTAGAAACTGTTGATGAGATTTTAAGTTACGCCCTACGACCAGGTACGTTTCAAAAACATGTTGGAACACAATATGTGCTCACCAAATAAAATCAGGGTTCTTAATGTATTGCCTCACGGTCCTCGTTTTTACTCTGGTCATGATCTACGGCGTTGCGCCAAAACATGGACGATCGAATCCCATTGTTTATATCTCAATCTGTTCACTCGTCGGGTCTATTTCAGTCATGGCCATTAAAGGCTTTGGTGTAGCTGTAAAATTGACATTCGGAGGGAAGAACCAGTTTTCCCATCCCAGCACATACGTCTTTGGCATTATAGTCGCGCTCTGTATTTTGGTTCAAATGAACTACTTCAACAAGGCACTTGATACATTCTCCACTAACGTGTGCGTATTTTTAATGGATCCCGCGTTTCGTAACTAAAATCATGTACCGATCAGCGTCAACCCCATGTATTACGTCGGTTTCTCAACCGCCACGGCTGTTGCTTCTCTCATCCTTTTCCAAGGTTTTAACACAACCGACGCCACTAATACTGTATCACTCCTGACTGGATTCGCGGTCACTTTCATGGGCGTTCACCTCTTGAACCTCTCTCGTGCACCAGAGCCCCCACTTGACCACAACACACACTCAGCGCTCGAAGGTGGTTTGATGAACCCCCGACTGAGTTTGCAGGGACGTATGTCTCTCGATGGTTGGCCCAACGGAGACACCCACATTGGCCCCGCCCCGCCGGCACGTGGTCACGGTCGGCGCAGCTCACTATATCGGAATCAAACGTCCACCCTCTTTAACGCTTTCGAGGAACACGACCAGAACGGTGATGCACCAGAGAGCGTGGGGTTACAGCGGCTGCGGGAAGAAGAAGAGTCGGATGATGATGATTTGGACGCAGATGAACGTACACGTCTGCACAAGGAGATACCAGTGGTGAGGCAGAGCGGGTCTCGAAGCCATAGCCATTCTCCCATTCCCAACCGACCAGCGTCGACGGATGTTCGGATATCTCCTCGAACAGTGGCCCCTTGATCGGGATGTATTTACCTTATACCCTCTTGATGGACTCGATAAAATACGACTTAATAACACAGGGTAATGGCGGGCGTCCGCATCGATTAGTCGAGCCACCACTTAGACAGGTACCAGACCAACGGGTTAAAAGTCCTCAATGATCCATGGTGCCACCTATTTCGAACAGGAGGTTCATGCAGTTTAATAGACCCACTGTAGAATTTGTATAGAATGACGAATTTCATTTCAGATCTTTAATTTAAAAAATGGTTCAATCCAGGATCGAACTGGAGACCTTCTGTGTCCACCGTGTGAGACAGAAATCATAACCACTAGACCATTGAACCGCATGTCAACGGATGGCGGCTGGGGTCCATATCACTAATAAGATCAAATGGCATTATTTTAACAAACAATAATAATAATATAAAAAGCAAAAAGTGGTTCAATCCAGGATCGAACTGGAGACCTTCTGTGATCACAGAAACACTATCAGAGTTACAAGAATAAACCCTGATGGTGCTTCTAGTGTGAGACAGAAATCATAACCACTAGACCATTGAACCGTTGATGTTGGCGCGTAACTTGTTGTCACCTAGCCCTGGATGATCATTGTAGCAATATTATCGCCGGTACTAAATACTGGGGTTGACATTTTACGTATACCCCAACTTGAAGTGTGAAGATTAGATTTTCCTGACCTGATCCAACAATCCCACCACTACTCACACGGCTCGTGCTCTTGTAATCACCGAGCGCAGTAGATCCTCACTCGCCCATTTCGGCTCACCTATACAAGTACGTTGATTTCCCAAGAGATCTAGGCTATGAAAGAAAAAAGTTATCGATCCCGCTCAGGTCCCGCGGTCACTCAGGAACCCGTTTAGCTTGCCGACCCGCAGGTTTGGACCTGATCACTGATCATGATGGGCCTCGCCCCCATCCCAAGCCTTCCCAAGGTCAATCTATAAACGGTGACAGCCACCAGCCCCACTGTGATGCTCAATGCCACCAGACCCGATCCTATGGCCAACGCCAAATACAACGCCCCGAATGGATAGACTGACGGAATGCCGCTCATGTACATCTTGATATTATTCGTCGAGATCACGTTCCCCATCGGTTGCAGAACGGGCTTTACCAGGCCAGGGAAATGCACTGATGGAATCCACGTCGCGTCAAGTACACGCCAAGATGTATGGATGGCGAATGTGTGGGTGATTTTTTAGGTGTTCCACCGCCCAGGAGCCCAAGCAAGCGATTACTTATCCCCGCCCGATCACACCCGTTGGAATATCCGTTACTGATTTGCCTATGTATACCTGTTACAATCACGGTGCGCGTTGATCGACCTTTTTTTTCGTAGAGGTTTGAAGAGACAATGAGGTGTGCTCCAGCCCAGCCTACGGCTTGTTGAGGTGATGTGTCTAGGAGTTTCCAAGCTGTGGTGGGAAACATTGGAGAAATCGTCTGATCATCTATCCAAAACAGATCATGTCAAGCACTGTCGACGCATGTACACGGAGTAATTACACAGCGCTTTGTTCCAATCCTCCGGGGTATTGGCTGGTGTTGGACTACTCCCCCAATATAAAAACATTTCCCCCAGTCCTCGGAAATCTGGGGTCACGCGCGCAGCTCCATCGTGCACCCACACAGCACACATACTCCAGACGCTCGCGCTCAAGACTGACACCGCTGATAGGTTGACGGGGGATCAGAATGCGCCAAACGAACATTCTTGCGAGAGGCAGGAAGTCTCCTCTTCAATTCGGACGCTTGTAGCCGGGTGAAGATAACGTGTTGCAGCAGTATGGAAATGTCATGATTGTTTATAATTATATCTACCGTCCGTGGAGCGGGAACGGGTGGCACTGACAGCACCTTGTATTTACAGCACGTCCGTGGTAAGCCGTGATTCAGGCGTGCCCCCTAATAATTGAATGGACGTTCCGATGTCATCAGCCTCATTCCCTACTATTAGGCAGTAATTTACTTCCTTTGGCCGCCTGGCCCGGAAATACGAGAGCGGCAAGTCAAGCCAATTTAGATAAAGCCATAACGGTGCGATCATCGCAAGATTGCCGCCTCCGTTAGGCGATGTGAAGGGCTGGATTACGCGGCTGCTTCGAGTGGGTAAGTGGCTGAGTTGAATGGAAATTTGGCCAAGGTTGGGCCGAAATTCTGTGAGGAGTTGCTTATCTTCCAACGGCCTGGCCTGTCAAAAAACTGCCATCTCCAGCTATGTGGGCGGGTCCATCTCAGTTCATGTCAATAAGGCATTGAGCGTTCCCTTCGGCATTTTCCCCGAAAACATAGGACGGGAACATTCGGTTTTTAAGGTTATTGTGCGAGCGCGAAGTCGCAGGCCTGACGGGGGTCGTTATGGCTAAACCCTGGTGCCCCCAGGAACGAACGGTTGTATAGAGTCCAAAGAACCATTGCTACGAGACATGTAAGCATCGAACTCACGGGCAGCGCTTTCAGGAACACATCGGTCGAACAAAAGAAGCCTAGGTATCGATAATCAGGTCGTTCAGGGCGGACGTATTTGGATGGGTCAGCCAGTCCAGAGTATGTTGTCTGGAGTGAGAGAATGAGTGTGCATATGGCGATATTGAATCAAGAGGCACTGATAACGTTATATATAACGTTAGAAGCACGGAGAGAAAAGTTGCATAACATGCAGGACCTGTACCCTGGGAGCGATGACGTCTGCACCCCAAGACTGGAACCTTGAAAGCGGGAACCGGAAAAATATATTTTGGGACCTGAAGGGTCCTTCTTCGACGGGGAGGACAAGTCGCCGGGTCTGAATCATGGTGGGTTCGTGGAGGTATAGTATAAGATCCGTGGCAGTTGGACAGACAGGTATCGACGTCGTGAGAGGCTGCGCTAGGCGTAATGTTGGGTATTGGGACAAACTTCTTGATTGGGGTGATTAAGCGCTCGAACTCGCAGAGAAATAGAAATAATAATATGTTCACAACATCTGAACAATGTCGTAAAGGTTCGCGGGTTAACATAAGGAGAGTTTGGACCTCACGAGCATACGGTGGAAACGCCCTGAAAGAAGAGTACCCAGAATAGACCACGCGGTTCGACTTCCGATCGCAGAGATTGAGTTCCCCTCAGTAGTTGGCAACTGATGAGGAATTTGACCATAGAATTAGGATCGCAGAGCACCGAGTCGGATCAAGTTGGTTTCTAGGCCCGCGACACTCAGTGCAGCTGTGGTCATAGGGAGGTAGACAGTGAGTATTGGCGAGAAAAGACTGATAAAGGGCTCAGTGTACATTATCTGTTTTGAACACTCAAGAGGGGTTGTTGAGGGGGGAAGACCGTTTAGATGTATAAATTGGTGATTGTTCCTCGGTGCCTGGGAAAGGGAGGCAAGGAGAATAAAATTTAAAGGGCAGTATGGGCCAGGAACGGAGTATTGAACACGTGCATGGGATTTACAGCCCAGGTGGGTCAAATTGCAGGCTGGAAACAGAAGATGACGAGAATAGAGGTTGGGTCACATGATTTATAGAGACTCGATCTCAAGGCGATTTCCGCTCTTTATGTGCCTGACCACCACCGCTCTCAATCTCCGTTTCTCACAGACCATCCCACAATCACTGCAATGCCTGTTCCTGCCCGTCCTCACAGGCAAACGGACGATCCTCTCGACGAGGTCCTCAGGCCACCCCCAGACGAAACTCCAGAGCAGCGCGACCTCCGTCTTGCACGCGAGGAACATGCAAACCAGATTAGCTTGGCCATAGACGCAGATATCAAAGCCGAACGACATGCTCGTCGGAAAAAACGTATCGTCAGGCTCCTTCTATTGGGCCAGAGCGAGTCTGGTGAGCACCACCTTTGCTTCCTGCACTCCTCCCGTCCTGCGCTAATTATAACACAGGCAAATCTACTACCCTCAGGCGTGAGTTTTTCGGACACTCTCTTCGTGTCATTTAAAGAACCGTATTACAGAGTTCCAACGGCTGTATACCCCAACTGCGTTCCGGGAAGAACGTGTGCTATGGCGTGCAGTTATCCAACTAAACATCGTCCGTTCAATACGCATAATTCTCGATACTCTTTCCTCCACAACATCACAAGTATCCCCTCGAACGTCGCCCTTCTCCTCCCCACGCTCCCGTGCACGCAGTATATCTCGAACACGGCCCCCCCTTGCACCTATCGATATCCCACCACTGCCCTCGTCCGATTTTTCGAATCAAGAATTCGCGCCAAACGGAAACGGCGAAACCAGCCACTTTGGTGATAACCGGGGTGAATTTGGCGGTGAATCTGATGGGGAGTATGATTCTGATGGGCCTGCGTCGCGCTCAAATCCCTCTTCTGCAACGTTAAACAATTCCCCTCTCGAGGCGCTGAAATCGCGTCTACTCCCCCTTAGGCACATCGAAGCTCTTTTGATTGCGAAGCTCGTTCCCCCAAACGAGGATGAAGCAACCCATCTCGTCGGTCCACACACGTATCCCCCGGGACAGGCTCAGTATAACCCTGGAGGGAATTCATTTCGGACCCAAGAAATTTTCGTCAGACCGGGAGCCGCTTGGAAGGGCGCCATGTCCAAAGCCCGGGTCAACTACCCGAGTTACAATGGAAGCGATGAGCCCCACCCAACGCCTGACACCGGCCGTCCGACCAGCGCCGGCAATACTGGCTTAGAAACCCCCGACGAGCCTCAGGAGGTGCTTAACCAATGTCGGAAAGACATGATGCTACTCTGGAACGATGAAGTGGTACGAGAAATATTGAAACGAAAGAAAGTACGACTGGAGGAACTCCCTGGATTGTAAGTTCCGTCCGCCGACATAGCCGGGATATATCTGATAATAATCTCTGGTTTGTTTTTAGCTTCCTTAATGACTTGGAACGCGTGACGGCTCTGAACTATATGCCCAACGATGGTATGATTACAATTTTATATTTGGACATTCGCTGATGTGCGTCCCTTATGTCGAAAGATGATGTTCTCAAAGCCCGTCTAAAGACAGTCGGGGTCTCGGAGTATAAATTTGAGATGGAGGTAACTGCAGGGCGAGATAGCGGCACTGAGTGGCGAATAGTTGATGTTGGTGGGAGTAGAAGTCAGGTAAGTCTCGAACTTTGACTGATCTTTGCCGAATATTCATTGACAGTACGCAGCGACGTAAGCTTTTGATGCAACTCTGAACCTAACGATTACTCAAGGGACGTATAGCGACGTGGGCACCGTTCTTCGATGATGGTATGTACCGCGGATAAGAATGGCTTATTGTTTTCCTCACCTTCCCTGAAGTTGACGCGATCATCTTCCTCGCTCCTATATCGGGCTTCGACCAAGTATTGTTGGAAGACCGCTCCGTTAATAGGCTGGTATGTACTCTTTTACCCCTTCAAACGACTTCTACTGATAGACCACCAGGAAGATTCCGTGTTGTTGTGGAAAGCCGTGTGCTCCAACAAGCTACTGGCCAATGTGGACCTTGTGCTCTTCCTCAACAAATGTGATATCCTCGAATCAAAACTCAAATCTGGGATCAAGTGAGTAGCTTCTTGGGTCAACTAC